GGTGGGAAGTGGCTGCACAGCGGGCGGGGGGCACAATATTGTGTGGGATGGTTGGCCAGCACATGCTGCTGCAGTCTGTGCATGTGCAACCATGTGCAGCCAGCCCCTGAACATGCCTAGGAGCCTGCTGTCAGCCTCATGCGTGACCACACAAGTCCTGCCCCCAAGGGGGAGAAGGGTGCACCCAGCTGCAAGCAGGCTAGCTGCAAGGGTGCAGGCATGACCCCCACACACCCTGGAGTGCAGCACACAGATATGCCTGCACATGAGAGGAAGCAGCTGCTCACACACACAGCACAGCCAGCCGCAGCTGTGTGTGCACACCCCAGGGAGGGACAGGCTGCACATGGCTCAGGGGACCCCACTCTGACCACACACTTCCTTTGCCTGCCTGGCCATGGTATGTGTGTGTATGTGGGGGGAAGTGGGCAGCATGGTCCTCTGGCCACCTCGGGACCCCTGCGATACAGGGCATGCTGTGCAGGCCTCACATGGCCTTGCACTTGGGACATCCCCCTCCTGCGGGCCACAGACCAATGTGGTTGCTGCTCACAGAGGAGGGCACAGCCACAGGGAATGTGTGTGCAGGGAGGACTGACAGCCTCTCCCTCTTGTGTCTTCTCCAAAGCCGGGACAAAGGGCTGTGCCACACTACTGCAACCACCTGCCACAGTCTGGGGGATGCAGAGACGAGCCAGGCCTGCCAATGACCTCATGCGGCAACACATCGGGGTGATGCGCGACACTGAATCACCTACTTATTTTTGCAGTTAAAATGCTGGAAAGGAGGATTTCTTTCTAACTAAACAAAAATAAGGATTTTTCTTGACAGACTTTTATTTTCAATTTTTCTGCATAAATTTTAATTATATAATGTGAATTAGTGTGGCTTAGTAGCTAGAACAAAAGACCTGGAAATCAGGAGTCCTATGTTTCTATTCTCACTGATGCATGTGAGTTACTAAATGATGCGGGACAGTTATCCTCAATGATACATTTCAGTGATGTGCAGTGAATATTTTAACAAAAGCTTCCTGAAAAAATGTTCTCCCTTAGAATATGACAAACTCATGAACCAAAACCAGCCAGAGGTGCATGTGCTTGGAAAAGCAAAAAAGGAAATGAACAAAGACTCTTTGTCATAACCATAACAAAGGAGGAAGGTGGATTGACCCGTAGAACTTAATTCTGAAGCCTAATTATACTGATTTTAATGTCAACTTTATTAATTATTCCACTGCAAATCATTTTAGAAGAAATAGTTAATATATGCAAATGTATTGTGTCTAGAAATGGAAGTATTTATGGGATAATATACCTGATCCCTTACAAAACAATGCAGGATTGTTCCCTGCCATATAATAGTCAGGATTTTATCTATTTTAGATTGAAATGTCTAAAGTGAGATTACTCACAGTTTAACAAATCTCACCATTAGAAGTTTTCCTGATTTTTTGTCCTTCCTAAATATTTCAACCCATTACTCTTATGAAAGAACCCATAATTAATGGAGATTGCCTATCTCCTAGAACTGGAAGGGATCTTGAAAGGTCATCAAGTCCAGCCCCCTGCCTTCACAGCAGAACTAAATATCATCCCTGACAAATTTTTGCCCCAAATGGCCTCCACAAGGCTTGAACTCAACCTTGGGTTTAACAGGCCAATGCTCAAATCACTGAGCTATACCTCCCCCAAGGAATGGAGAACAGAATTCACCATTCATGAGAGAAAGTGAACCATAACTTTCTAACATCCATACAAATAAGCTTTCAGTATAAGTGCCAGCTTTCCAGTTGAACTGCTTAAGTTAACCAGTTCACTGATCTCGAATGAACAATAGTTTAAAAGCAGTAAAAGTAAAAGCAGACCTATGATAGTATACTGGGTAAAGGGCTCTGAGTGGTGATTTAGCAAATAGATATCAGCTATTTTTTACATGAGAAAGGGGAGATCTTCCTTGCAAAAATAAGCAGTGTTATGTCTCTCCACATTCTGTTATATGCTTCCCTCCTGCTTTTAGCTTCCCCTAAGCTGTGTAAACCTGTGTCTTATGAGCACAGCATTAACACAGATACCATGCTGCTTTCTTGATAAATGGCTTTTAATGCATGTGAAGCTGTACTTTGTAATTCTTTCAACTGGGTTCATAGATCACAAACAGCCTTCACTTATACTTTTGGGTCTCCATTACATTTTACTTCCAAAGTAAATATGCCGTTTTCCTTGACCCATTCCCATTTTGGTCAAGCCACACTTTTTTTTATATTATAGTACTTTGCCTCATAATTTGTAGAAGAGGAGGGAATATACTGTGTATCCATTATTGTCTCTCCGCATTCCCTTCCTCCATTCTCTTCTCTGTAAGTTTAAGGGAATTTTTGTCTCTTCTGTACTGCATAAGAAGAGGGAGCATAATGCTCTAAAATATAGATCTTATCAATATAAAATAGATATAGATAGATATAAAATATAGATATCCAGGACAGCGGGACTGTCACCCCGGAGGCCTGGGAGGGATCTTCAGGTATGTTGGCACAGCCGCAGCTGTGTGTGCACACCCCAGGGAGGGACAGGCTGCACATGGCTCAGGGGACCCCACTCTGACCACACACTTCCTTTGCCTGCCTGGCCATGGTATGTGTGTGTATGTGGGGGGAAGTGGGCAGCATGGTCCTCTGGCCACCTCGGGACCCCTGCGATACAGGGCATGCTGTGCAGGCCTCACATGGCCTTGCACTTGGGACATCCCCCTCCTGCGGGCCACAGACCAATGTGGTTGCTGCTCACAGAGGAGGGCACAGCCACAGGGAATGTGTGTGCAGGGAGGACTGACAGCCTCTCCCTCTTGTGTCTTCTCCAAAGCCGGGACAAAGGGCTGTGCCACACTACTGCAACCACCTGCCACAGTCTGGGGGATGCAGAGACGAGCCAGGCCTGCCAATGACCTCATGCGGCAACACATCGGGGTGATGCGCGACACTGAATCACCTACTTATTTTTGCAGTTAAAATGCTGGAAAGGAGGATTTCTTTCTAACTAAACAAAAATAAGGATTTTTCTTGACAGACTTTTATTTTCAATTTTTCTGCATAAATTTTAATTATATAATGTGAATTAGTGTGGCTTAGTAGCTAGAACAAAAGACCTGGAAATCAGGAGTCCTATGTTTCTATTCTCACTGATGCATGTGAGTTACTAAATGATGCGGGACAGTTATCCTCAATGATACATTTCAGTGATGTGCAGTGAATATTTTAACAAAAGCTTCCTGAAAAAATGTTCTCCCTTAGAATATGACAAACTCATGAACCAAAACCAGCCAGAGGTGCATGTGCTTGGAAAAGCAAAAAAGGAAATGAACAAAGACTCTTTGTCATAACCATAACAAAGGAGGAAGGTGGATTGACCCGTAGAACTTAATTCTGAAGCCTAATTATACTGATTTTAATGTCAACTTTATTAATTATTCCACTGCAAATCATTTTAGAAGAAATAGTTAATATATGCAAATGTATTGTGTCTAGAAATGGAAGTATTTATGGGATAATATACCTGATCCCTTACAAAACAATGCAGGATTGTTCCCTGCCATATAATAGTCAGGATTTTATCTATTTTAGATTGAAATGTCTAAAGTGAGATTACTCACAGTTTAACAAATCTCACCATTAGAAGTTTTCCTGATTTTTTGTCCTTCCTAAATATTTCAACCCATTACTCTTATGAAAGAACCCATAATTAATGGAGATTGCCTATCTCCTAGAACTGGAAGGGATCTTGAAAGGTCATCAAGTCCAGCCCCCTGCCTTCACAGCAGAACTAAATATCATCCCTGACAAATTTTTGCCCCAAATGGCCTCCACAAGGCTTAAACTCAACCTTGGGTTTAACAGGCCAATGCTCAAATCACTGAGCTATACCTCCCCCAAGGAATGGAGAACAGAATTCACCATTCATGAGAGAAAGTGAACCATAACTTTCTAACATCCATACAAATAAGCTTTCAGTATAAGTGCCAGCTTTCCAGTTGAACTGCTTAAGTTAACCAGTTCACTGATCTCGAATGAACAATAGTTTAAAAGCAGTAAAAGTAAAAGCAGACCTATGATAGTATACTGGGTAAAGGGCTCTGAGTGGTGATTTAGCAAATAGATATCAGCTATTTTTTACATGAGAAAGGGGAGATCTTCCTTGCAAAAATAAGCAGTGTTATGTCTCTCCACATTCTGTTATATGCTTCCCTCCTGCTTTTAGCTTCCCCTAAGCTGTGTAAACCTGTGTCTTATGAGCACAGCATTAACACAGATACCATGCTGCTTTCTTGATAAATGGCTTTTAATGCATGTGAAGCTGTACTTTGTAATTCTTTCAACTGGGTTCATAGATCACAAACAGCCTTCACTTATACTTTTGGGTCTCCATTACATTTTACTTCCAAAGTAAATATGCCGTTTTCCTTGACCCATTCCCATTTTGGTCAAGCCACACTTTTTTTTATATTATAGTACTTTGCCTCATAATTTGTAGAAGAGGAGGGAATATACTGTGTATCCATTATTGTCTCTCCGCATTCCCTTCCTCCATTCTCTTCTCTGTAAGTTTAAGGGAATTTTTGTCTCTTCTGTACTGCATAAGAAGAGGGAGCATAATGCTCTAAAATATAGATCTTATCAATATAAAATAGATATAGATAGATATAAAATATAGATATAGCCTGAATTATGAATACATAAATGGATACTGCTTTCTCCATTACATTTTTTTCACGCATACAGTTTTTGAAAACATTGCACTTTCTATTAACCAGACAGAAACATTAAAAATAAACCACATGATAATGAACTACTGAGTTTGCAAATACAAACATGTTTACAACAGCGATGAACATATTGTCACTTATGCTATATTTCTTTAAAGAAATATTGTTAAAGTAGCACAATATCAGCCCTTCCAATTGCTAATATCCAGTGTGTGAACACACAAGCTTAATTTTCACTCACCTGCAAAATGGACCAGATACAGTTGGAATCATATAACAAATTCCACCATTTAGACAAAAAGGTCCATAACTGGTGCCACAGAGTTCTTCATGATCTGAAAAGAACAGAGATATAAAGAGAGAGATTTGTTATACTTTTATTCAGGAGGAATCAAGAAGTGACAAAATGATACCATATGGTAGTTTGGGTTTTGATTTCCTGTTTTCTTTAAATTATAATACAGTAAGATACAACCGGCTTAACAACACTAAAAACTAATAAGGGATAGTCTTACCCTCCAGCACATCAGTATGTGCCTCCATGTATCTAATAATATCATTGATTACATCTGTAGTACAAATATTAAAGTTGATTTTACAAAATACATAGCAAATGTACCAGTATATTAGAGAAGTGTAAAGTTTGAGGAAGTGGGTACAGTTCCATTTGTAAGGACTGACAGGACTTTGAAATCTTCCTCGTGGCTTTCACATTTGGGGAGCATAGTGAATATGTTGTACCAGATGCTTGCCTTTATTAAGATTGCTTTGCATTCCTCTAGTGGTGCAAAGCAGCTTCAAAGCCAGCTATATGGGGATTCCCCCAGCATATGGGAATTCTCAGATATGGAGGCTGTATAGCCAATCCTATACTGTCCCTCCTCCCAGCCTAAGTGATGCCAGGGAAAGGGGAGAATGTCCTGAGTGTGGCTGTAGTCTAATTGTCCCTAACAGTGACTGGTCCCTTGGGCCCTGAGGCTGCTTCTACCTTCAGTGAAAACTGACCTGCCTCCCAGCTGCTGGCTCCAGCCAACTTTGGTCCACCCAGCTGCACCAAGCACCACTCTGGCACAGTTGAGTGGCTGATTCATTAATACTTATGTGTAGAAACTGCAATATAAGATTATTCTAAACAATTATATCTGTTGCTTTTTATGTAATTTCAAAACAGTATTGACCTTATACCTGAATTTTCAGTGTAGGATCCTTAATAACCTATCTAGCTTCTGGATTTGGATGCTTGGTTTGCATTTAGAGAGGCAATTGTCCATTTTATGTGCCTAAATGCCGATTTGGACATCCTAGTAAGAAGTTCAAGTTTTTTAAAACTGGGGTAGGTGGTATATGCAAATGAGTATATAGCAGGGTGTGTGTGTGAATGTGTTTTATTAATCACACTCATTAAATCCAAGCATCTTCCTTAAAACTGGAACAGATCAGACCTGTGACATCACAAGCCTGAGAACCATATGCTATTTCACACATAAGGTGTGATTATTTTCACAATTATTTCTAGGTGAAAATGAGACTGCATGCCTGTTGCTCATGAAGTGCAAAATATGCCTTCAGCAGCCTATACGAACTATATTATTGTGGGGGAAAAATCTTAATTTTCACATCTACTCTTTTGGAATACACCAACATAGCTCACTTGTAACTCCCATAAATTCCTAAACATAAAAGTTTAGGATGAAACTGTGGCTGTAAATAACAGTTTGAACTATCAAGCTGTATTAAAAAATTCCATAGCAGTTGGAATTCCAAAAGACATTGCAGTTTAAGGCTATGTCTACACAGCAGCGTTATTCTGAAATAACAAAGTGAGCATCTACACACAAGGGCTACGTCTAGACTGGCATGATTTTCCCAAAATGCTTTTAACGGAAAAGTTTTCCGTTAAAAGCATTTTCGGAAAAGAGAGTCTAGATTGGCACAGACACTTTTCCGCAAAAGCACTTTTTGCGGAAAAGCATCCGTGCCAATCTAGACTTGCTTTTCCACAAAAAAGCCCTGATCACCATTTTCGCGATCGGGACTTTTTTGCGGAAAACAAAGCTGAGCTGTCTACACTGGCCCTTTTGCACAAAAGTTTTGCGCAAAAGGACTTTTGCCTGAATGGGAGCAGCATAGTATTTCCGCAAAAACACTGACAATCTTACATGAGATTTTCAGTGCTTTTGCAGAAATTCAAGCGGCCAGTGTAGACAGTTGGCAAGTTTTTCCGAAAAAGTGGCTGATTTTCCGGAAAAACTGGCCAGTCTAGACACAGCCACGCAGTTATTTTGACATAATATTGAAATAATTTCCAGCCAGAGGATTACTACGACTACTGTAACCCTCATTTTACAAGGATTAAGGGAAATTGGAGGAAGAGTACTCTATTTTGAAATAAGTGCTGCGTAGACATGCCCAAATTCGAAATAAGCAATTAGCGTAGTTCAAGTTTCATAACTTATTTTGAGTTTAGCCCTGCTGTGTAGGCATACCCTAAGTGGGCAAAATATTTCCAGAAGAGTTTAGCAATTGCAATATTCTTGGAAGAAGTGCAGTATGCATCATACCAAGGAGAGACAACATCCTTGCTTAGCCACTGGGCAAAGTGTTGGAGGGAGGTACGGGCACTGGCTCTGCTCTCCCAAAGTGGCACGGCCTCAAGCAGAAGGGGCGGGCTGGAGGCTCAGACTGCAGTGCCTACAGCAGTCCTCAATACTATTTGGAACATGGCATCCCTGCTTCCCCAGCCAACATAGAAGCTGTCCAGAGTGAGTTGTGCAACGCTCTGGTGGCAATTTAAAGGGCTCAGGGCCACAGGAGCTGCCACTGCCGCAGTAGCAGCAATACTGTCTGGGTGCCCCAGGCCCTGAATCACCAGGCCCCAAGGTATGAGTTGCCCCTTTTCTGCACTGCACCCCCCTCCCCCAGCAGTGGGCCTGACCAAATCCATATAGTGCACTGGACTGGAACTACTAATTCTGCCCTCCCAGGCTATGTCTACACTGCCCCTCTCTTGCGGAAAAACATAGCCAAATGAGGCTAAGCATGGAATATCGCTGTTCCTCATTTGCATAATGAATAAGTCTCCATTTTTGTGCAAAAACCCCCTCTCGTTCAAGAGCCGTTCTTCTGCATTTTTTTCTAGAAGAACAGTTCTTACACAAGAGGGGGGTTTTGCGCAAAAAGGAGCTGTGTAGACAGCTCCTTTTTGGCGCAAAAACCTATTATGCAAAAATGGAGCCTCGTTAATTATGCAAATGAGGCACGACAATATTCCATGCTTAGCCTCATTTGCATATGTTTTTCTGCAAGACAGGGGCAGTGTAGCCATAGCCTCACTGTCCTCATTTGGCTATATAATGATGCAACTGGCAATGGAGACCTAAAAACATAAGACCAGCCATTCTGGGTCAGCCCAAAGGTCCATCTAGATCCGTATTCTATCTTCTGATAGTGGCCAATGCCAGGTGCTCCAGAGGAAATGAAAAGAACAAATTCATCACGTGTCGCTCATTCTCATCTTCTGAGAGAGGCTAGGAATATAGTTCTTGTCCATCCTCTCTAATAGCCATTGATGGACCTATCCTCCATCATTTTATCTACCTCTTTTTTGAATTCTGTTCAAGTCCTGGCCTTCACAACATCCTCTGGCAAGGAGTTCCACAGGCTGACTGTGTATTGGGTGAAGAAATACTTCCTTTTGTTTGTTTTAATTCTTCTACCTATAATTTCATTTGGTGACCCCTAGTTCTTGTGTTATGGGAACAAGTAAATAACCTTTCCTTATTTACTTTCTTCATACCAATCATGAAGAAAGTAAATAAGACTTTTATCGTATCTCCCTTTGCCTTTTCTTTTCTAAGATGAGAAATCGCAGTCTTGTTAATCTCTCCTCACGTGGCAGCCATTCCATAGCCCTAATTATTTTTGTTGCCATTTTCTTAACTTTTTCTAATGCTTTTTGAGATGAGGCAACAATTTTGCAGGTAGTATGCATACCTCTTACTTCCTTTATATAAATCCATGGTGGGCATCCCATGGATTATATAGAAGCAATAAGATATTTGCTGTCTTATTTTCTATCCCTTTTTAAACAATTCCCAATATTCTGTTTACTTTTTTTTTTTTACTACTTCTGCACATTGAGTGGATGTTTTCAGAGAACTATCTACAGTGACTCCAAGATCTTTCTCTTGAGTGGTAACAGCTAATTTAGTCCCCATCATTTTATACATATTGCTGGGATTGGCTTTCCAATGTGTATTACTTTGCATTTATCAACATTAAAATTCATCTGCCATTTTGTTGCCCTAGTTTTGTGAGATCCTTTTGAAGCTCTTCACAGTCTGCTTAGGACTCAACTATCTTGAGCAGATTAGTATCATCTGCAAATTTTGCCACCTCATTCTTTACCCCTTTCTCCAGATCATTTATAAATATATTATACAGGATTGGTTCCAGTACAGACTGCTGCGGGACATCACTAGCTACCTCTCTCCATTCTGAGAAGTGACAATTTATTCCTACCCTTTGTTTCCTATCTTTTAACCAGTTATCAATCCATGAAAAGACTTTCCTTCTTATTCCATGACATCTTAATTTATTTAAGAGCCTTTGGTAAGGAACCTTGTCAAAGGTTTTCTGGAAATCTAAGTACACTGGATCTCCCTTGTCCACAGGCTTGTTGACCCTCTCAAAGAATTCTAGTACATTGGTGAGGCATGATTTCCCTTCACAGAAACCATGTTAATTTTCCCTAACAAATTATGCCCATTTATGTGTATGACAGTTCTGTTCTTTACTATAGTTTCAACCAATTTGTCCGGTACTGAAGTTAGACTTTCCAGCCCAGATAAAATCATGGTTGAGATGAAGTCAATGGCAAAGCTCCCATTGGACTAAATTGGGCTCGGATTTCAAAGTTAATAGGATTTTTGCTGTTGACTTCAATAGAACCAGGATTTCAACCCACATGTCCATGTGCTCAGAATACAAGGATCAAAACTGTGCTCAGAACTAATGCAAATGATCAGGAGGGCAGAATGCTCTTTGTGCCCTCTCCATCCTTGTGCACAAGACCAGGGACAACTTAACTCTATATGGTCACATTAAGGTAATAAAATTCTGTTTTCTGTTTCTGATTTCTATACCTATAATACAAATTGGTAATTTGTTTACTGCAAGCTTAGTATCAAATACTTCTCAAGTACTGGTTGCACTGCTATAAACTGGAACTCTCTGGTCCAGCAACATCTGTGGTACAATGTTTCAGGATCAGAGAGTCCTGGCATGCTGCGGGGGGAGAGACAGCAGGGGGTCAGGAGCATGGTGCTATGTGTGGCGGGGACACGCAGCACAGCTGGGCTGTGAGGAGGGGCAGAAGCCAGAAAACCCGGCATGAAGCTGGGCTGCAGGTGGGGGGGAGGCAGCAACTCAGCTGGGCTGTGGGGGGAGCCAGAAAACTCATGGGGGGACAGGGTAGAGAGGGGCAAGCAGCAAGGGGGCCAGAACTGACCTTCCCTGGTCTAGAAAAATCCCTTATTCGGGTCTAGTCAGGTTCCGAAGGGTGCCAGACCAGGGAAGTCCAACCCGTATTACAATTGTGTGTACAGAGCATTTACTATGGTGGCTGTGGTGGTGTGGGGGACGAGATAGAAAACAATTAGAAAATTTACTAACAAGTCTTTTTGTACAGTATCCTTAAATAAATTAAAGCTATTCTATTATACCTATGACAGATATGTCAATGTAACCAGATTTGAGGTCATGTCCAGTGTTCCCTCTAAGCTGTGCAGCAGCACAGCTTCACAAGTGATTAATCATCCCCACCCAGTCAGTGAGTTCCATGCAGAGTCCTGAGCCTCTGACTGGGTGCGGATGATTAATCACTTGTGAAGCTGTGGGGAACACTGGCCATGTCATCTCCTGAGTGAAAAAAGGAAATGAAAAAAGTAGAAACCTTCCTCTATTGTCTCTGAAACTACTGGGGCAGGGGAGAGGAGAGAAAAAGCTGAAGTAGCAAATTTCACACCCCTTCTTCCAATCTTATGAATGTCAATAGGAGGGATCCTATTGAGACGCTACAAGCTGGAATAGTCAGTTGAAAGAAGGCAAGGTCAAGAGAAAATAAGTTTATGCAGCAGCATCTCCTGGCATACCCCAGGTACATTAGCATCAGAGAGGGTGGAAAATAGCTTGACACTTTCTGCAGAGATAAACTGTTTTTAATAGGTTCATAACAAGATCAGCTAGTTCACCTAGTCAGTACTATACTCTGCTGACAAAGTAAACTCATTTAACCTGAATTGCTATCTCTATTTTTATTCTGATTCTGTTAAATCTATTGATAGGGGAGATTGTGTTTTATTTAGAAAGATCTTGCTGTGCTTTTTTACAAGTGAAGATAATAAATTCTTTTAATCTAAAAATGAAAATTGTAAGCTTAGAGAGCTAAATGTATTCTTTGGTTAGATTAGTATAACCAAGACAGAAAAGCCATGCATGATAAATATTGATGAGAGGGAAGCATAATCAATATCAATCTAGATTATAAATAAATAATTGGATATTATCATCAACTTTTCCAATTAATACTTCTGTAGAAATGGCACCCATATATTACGGATATTCTGTCATGTATATTTGTTGTCTGATATATTGTTTTACTTGCTGGGGATAGAAAATAAAGAGGGGCCAACACATTTTATTTAGGAAGTTGTCAAACAGTTGCAACTTTATTGAACCAAAATTAAGCAAAATTGATTCTTGCAGCCCTAGATTAGTAGTGATTCACAGTGGAAAGGGCAATAGTAACTTCTAAGTATTCATAAATCTAAGACAAACTACATTTTCAAACTGGCATATCCAATCAACTACAGATTCTGTCTGTAGGTGCGTGAATCTGTCTCTGTGTCTGTCTGTTTGTTCAAGAACTCCTCCTAAATGGTAAGAGCTAGGACTACCAAATTTGGTCTGCAGCTCCCTCTTATCATAACTTAAACAAAGGTAAGGGTTTGGTTTTGCCAGTAAAACAAGATGTGGCCAGAATGGAATTGCTTTTCATAAAACCATACAGAAAAAAGACAGAATTCAAGTGAAAGAGGCTGGCTGGGGGCATGATCCCACTGTCAGAGACAGCCCCAAACACAAGTCTCATACCTCCCCCCCCCCAGATAAGTTTTCTAGTATTTCATATGCACCCATAGGTGTACGCATGTGCACATACCCAAGCAGCCTTGTGCTCATGCATTGTGCGCTATATGTGCATATTCAGGTCAGACATGCTAAAATGTATGTACACTTATAAAAATCCTCAACACCACCTAACCTCATGGAAACCTATCTCACCTGTTCCCTCCCCACACATTTATTTGTTCCCAATCTAGATATTAACCTAACTACTCTTTACCCAGCCAACATTGCCTCGAAGTTGCATTCGTGTGAATAGAAAAGAATTGGTTATTTGGAATTGGTCCTGCCTAGAGCAGGGGGCTGGACTTGATGACCTTCTGAGGTCTCTTCCAGCTCTATGATTCTATGATTCTATGAAAAAGAAAATGGTCAAGTGGCCAATTAGAAAGAATCTGCTTGTTCTGCCTCCTTTTAGAAGTCATCATGGGCCATATGCCAGCTAATCTCAGAACTTCTGAGAGGTATTAAGATTTCCCAATGCAATCCCTTCTTACAGAAGTTCTAAGTACTGGTCCGTTGTCCCAGGAGTGGAATTGGTTCTCTGGAGAACCCACAACAGTCCAACATTAACTGTTACGATCAGTGTAACTATAATTAATGACAAATAAACATCTGAGCAGAAATAAATTTACGAGAAATTACCTGTTCGCATATTATTCTGAAAATTTTTATTCTTGGTTAAAGGCTAGTTTTCTAAAACAGCACCTAAAGACAAAATATAGATAAAATTTAAATATAGCATTTTAATCCTGTTGTATTTTGCCAAAGTAAATAGCTATATGAATGTATTTCCATTGATGCTGAAAACTAAGAAGTATGTCTACCCTAGATAGAAATATTCTGTTATGCTATAACTTCATTAGTTTAAAAACTAATGGTAAACATTCATACATACAAATTCCATAAACCTTTATGGACTAGTGCTATTGATAGAGCAGAGACACCTTAAGACTTGTTTGAATAATGAAAATATTGCAAAAGAGTTCTGCAGAGGAATTCCACCTGGAAGAGAATGTAGTAATTCAGGAATTACAGTGTCTGATGCTTTTAGAAATTCTACATTATTACAAACATTAATATCTAATTAAACTCTGTTGCTTTATAAATTCCAGTGCACATAACCTAATCATGACTCTGAAGTCAAATAAAGTTTTACTGCAGAAGTGGACTCCATTTTTGCAATTCACTAATATGTGAAGCTTACTGTTTCAAAATTCTTAGATTTGTTATTTGTTTGTTTTCTATTTTGTCCGATTGTAAAATCAAATTAGAAGCTGAGAGAAGATATTTTTTTTTATAAGGGATATAAATTCTTCTACTTGAGGACACAAACCAACCACTACCAGAGACATATAGGGGGGGGGGGAGAATTACTTTTGGGCAATTTATTCCATAATTGTCCATTGTAAGATTTCCTGCACCTTATTCGAAAACATCTAGTGGAGGAAACTGTCAGAGAGGTTATTGATCAGATGAGTCACTGAATTGAACAGGCCTGATATAGTATTTCCTATTTTCTAAAGTTTTCTACTTCTGATTTTATTTTGTTTTAATTCACATATCATACTGCATAGTAAAACACTAAAAATAACAAAAATTTAAGACTAAATTAATTGCAGTAACATAGAGACACAAGCTAGGATAAATATTCAGAAGTACTACTCGAAGAAAGAGCACAATGCCACCAGAGAACAATAACTGCTACGTCACCAATAAAAAAGATGCTGTATTTACTCCTCTTTGCACCATCCATCCAAAATACTTCCTTTCTCCCAGCATTTAAAATATTTTTGCCAGTTAAATGGCAAAACAAAGAACTTATGAGTATTACTAGAAAGAAATGCCTAAATCGGAACCTCTCTAGTTGTACTAAACAAGTTTATATAGACGCTTGTTTCAAAACATTAAAAGGATTTGTACTTACTGTATAATGTAAGTAGCTAAATTCTGTTCCTCACGGGAACTTAAATCACTTCTTAAATCCTTCCGGGTCCCAACCCTATAAGAGAAATCTAAAATGGCAACTCCCCACATTACCAAAATATAATACCAAGGTCTCCACCCAAAGAGCAGTTCTCCTCTTTGGCTCTGTCACACATACGAACTTTATCCACTGTTGTGTACATAACAAAATACTACGTGGCACAAAACAAACAAATCTCAAAAAATGGCTTACCTCACAACTGAAATGTTTACAACAAATAAATTATTGTGGAGATGTGTTATGTTCAACAGAATCCAAGGTTTGCATTGTATACCTGCGGTTAAAAAGCTGAAGATTTACGTGTGTGCATAATGCAATGTGGGTGAGGTTGAGATGAATACAAAAGTGTGCACAGAGGCCAAGAATGGGCTAAAGGAAACGCCTCTTTCTGCTTACAAAAGAGTTCTCACATGTTCACAACTGTAATCCTAGCAGATCCTTGATTAAAACAAGTACTGTATTGTAGATATTTGGCAATTGGCTGAATTCCAAAGCAGTTCCAAATTGCAACATAAAACATTGCAGCCAAGTATATGGTTACAAGGTAAATTTAAACAAATCAGAAAACTTTTACTCTTAATTTTTATCACACAAAATATATCTTTCCTCCTTTCAAAATATCCTACGCCACTGTGAAATACCTATATGCTCTCATCCTAATCAATTAAAATAAAATGTATGACCTAACTTCACTCTAACTCCTTTACCAGATTTAATTAGCTCTATGAAGCTAGAACAACCTCCCCTTTACTATGACAGCATGCCGAAGTATTGCTTAATCTTATCCCATTGTTTGTACCTATTGAAAACACTTGTTCTTTAAGATATATCTGTTCTTAATATGGAACAAAAAAATACCTTGTTTAATCTCAGGTAAATCCACTTTCTCCAATCTGCTTCATTTTGGCACATAATCCATTACTTTTTAGACATTCAATACATAATTGAACCTGGTTAACTCTGTTTTAAGAAATTTCCCTGCTGCCACTATGAGCCCTATTTAGAGCTCATCCAATGAAGTGTGTTTTATTCATGAAAGCTCATGAACATATAAGTTATTTTAGTTTCTGAGGTGCCACAGACTACTCGTTTTTAAAGTTACAGACTAACATGGCTACCCCTGAGCCTATAGACTAGTCCAACATATCAGAAGCTTGCAGAGATTACATTTCCAATGCTTGGCCCTCTCCGTAGTCACTTATATCTGTACAAAGTAGGTGTAAAATAAAGTGAATGAAGAATTTTTATTTGATTGCCGTTTTAAATTTAAATTATATAGGTGGAAATGACTAGTGGGTGTAAGACTGTGGGGAATTAAGCCAACAAATCTTTATCTTGTCTAATTCTATCACACTTCTTATTTCCAGCTCAAAGGGTATGTCTAGACTGCATCCCTCTGTCAGCAGAGGGATGCAGATTAGGCAGGTCGACATTGGAAATGAGGCAGGGATTGAAATATCCCGTGCCTAATTTGCATAAAAATAGCTGCCGCGTTTTGCCAACTCAGCACTTTGTCAGCAAAAAGTGGCAGTCTAGAGGGGGATCTGTCGAGAAAGAAAGCCTTTTTCAATAGATCCCTTATGCCTCCTGCAAGGAGGTTTACAGGATCTGTCAAAAAAGGCTATCTTGCAATGTCGACCAGCCTAATCTGCATCCCTCTGCTGACAGAGGGATACAGTCTAGACATACCCAAAGAAACAAGTTTAAAATATCCATCTTCATGTACCACTCATAACAAAACAGTACCTTACCTCAGGCTTTAAGCCTTGGCTCTTGGCAGCAAACAGATTCATGCCATGGAAAATGCCTCTCTTTCAAAAAACTTTATTCAGCTAAGGGAAAAATATGAGTTTATTTCATTATTTATATCATTGCCTGTAATTCATACTCCTTGACCTTACTCTCATTGAAACCTCTACGAAAAGTGTAACTTCTTTACCAAAACGTATTTCCCCTCTGTTTTATTATTTCCATTCTACTAAAAACAACATCTCTTAATGCTCTGTTAATTGGTGTGAAATGGATTCACCCTTTTCCCCACAAGTTTCAAAAAGTTCACTTTCTGCCCTGTAACTGATCTTGCCCTCCCACCCCCATTAAATTTAGTGGGCCTGATATATACCTGGTGTAATGCTGCTGAAGGTAACAGGGTTACATCAGGAATTAATTTTGTTGTAGAGCTCAGCTTCAGACTCCACTTTTCTGTTTTAAATAAGCAGTTATGTTTTGGAATTGCTCAAAACTGAAATTAGAGCCCCTAAAATTAGCAATAAGGGGGACAATAAGAGGTATGTGTGTCACTCATCCCATAGTATTAGACAGGGGAAGGCTGTATCTCTCCAAATAGCCTGGAATGGCCCTGCCCACACTCAGCTCCCAGAGTGTTTCCTTCCTGCTTCCTGTTTCCTCCCTTTTTGGTGTGGCCAGGAGGCTGTCAGGGGCAGGGAGGCGGGGAGTGGCAGGCTGGAGCCGCGGCACACAAGACTGGGGCTGGATGCACACTGAACCCTTTGTCCACGTACCAGGGACCGTGCTAACTGTCCAGCACTTCAGGGTTGGGGGCGCTCCAGCCATGCCACCCACCCAGCCCAGCACTAGGGCTGGGAGTGTTATAACTGTGCCACCAGCCTGGCATGCTGGAGGTTCATGGGACAGGGGGCTTGCAGCTGTGAGGGTATGTGTGCTCCAGTCTCTAGCAGGGGGGGGCAGAAGGAGAGGGTTGGGGCCTTGGGCAGAGCAGCAGAAGCTGAGCCCCAAAAGCAGGTTCACTCACCACCCATGACTCCTCCCATTGAATACCTTACCCACTGAGCTAAAAACTATGATCCACCTCCCCATCTCATCTTGCAAAATATATCTCAGGCACCTAACTCTAAGAAATAATTGCCTCAGTCTAGTTAAGCCTCATGTACTAAAGTCCCTGAGGGTATGTCTACACTACCCTCCTAGTTCGAACTAGCGGGGTAATGTAGGCATACCGCACTTGCAAATGAAGCCCGGGATTTGAATTTCCCGGGCTTCATTTGCATAAGCGGGGCGCCTCCATTTTTAAAACCCCGCTCGTTCGAACCCCGTGCAGAGCGGCTACATGGGGCACAAACTGGGTAGTTCGAACTAGGCTTCCTAGTTTGAACTACTGTTACTCCTCGTGGAATGAGGAGTAACGGTAGTTCGAACTAGGAAGCCTAGTTCACACTACCTAGTTCACGCCCCGTGTAGCC